ATATTTTATATTTAGAAATACGGTATCGGATATTACAGTGAATTACAGGATTAATACATTGATATATTTGAGATAAATGTTGAGACGTGTATGAGACGCGTAAAACAGTAACAAACAAGAAAAAGGAATAGTAGGCAAATTCAATTTTATGTTATTTCGTATTAGAGATTATCAAGGATATGTGCGTAATACTTTCGGAATGGAGTAGGAGGGATAAATTCAGCTTTATACTATTGAGTTTCAACATCTATACTTAATTTGTCCTTTGTGGAATCGAACCCATGACCTCTGGTTCGGCAGTCATTATCACTAACCATTCGAATGATTAGACCAACAGGCCCGTCAAACTAAAAAGAATTTTAAATTAAAATAAAATTACTATTTTCACCCATTTTTTATTTCTTATGTGAACTTTGTGTGTATTAAATACATATATTTTGCAACGAATACGTTTATTCAGTTCGCTTATTCAATTTATACCGCTGGAGTATAGTTGCCGCAGTTTCGGTACCTTTTAATCTAACTTTGAAGTTGTCAAAACTGCAATGCGGAACTAATCATACTACTCGGCTGCACGAAGTGCTTTAGCTCTAATAAGCCTTACCTAAGTAGCTATTAAGACTTGTACACGGAATGCTATTTCTTACTTTTATTTTCATCGTTTTATGTACGCTTTCGCTGAATCGACACCAATGCCAGTCGGCATACTTAACATAACGCGGTATCTACCGTGAAATATTAGACCTTGACACCATCTGCTGCTTCTGGCTCAAATGTCGCCTTTTACGAGCAGCGCTATTAGATTTTACAAAATATAAAATGTAAATAACACAATAATGTCAGAAAAGGGGCTAACGTTCCAACTGTGCTGGATAAACGAACAAAAAGATTTAGATGCTCCTTGCGGTTCTATTTCTAGTAATAACTTGTACCTACTAGAGTTTTTGGTTTCTGGATTGTTGTATTTATGTATTGTAATTTCTCATAATTTATCTAAAACACTTTTCTTTAAAGTTTTGGTTTAGAGTTCTCTTTATACAAATTTAAAGCATTTTGTAATGTAGAACAGTCTGGACTGCGCTTTGCATGGGCTTTGAAGGACAAGACGGGACAAAAATAATAAAAATAAATAGATATAATTTTTTATTACTTCAAAGTTTATTCATTTTTAAGCAGCTTTAGTTCTTTATTTTTACTGTCACGTTTTATGTATTCCAAAAACGGTGGACTATAGAAGTCATTTGCCTGAATAATATTTGATCCGTTTACCGAAAGAGCCTTTTTACATAAGACTAAAAAGTAATATAAATTTTATATATTACCAACGTCATTGTTATTAGTGTATTCATATTCTCGCTATGGTAGTAGGTTTGTTTTACAATGTGAGTTCCATTTGTACTATGTAATATTTAATACGTATATTTATGTGACAGCTTATACCAGTTGATATCTCTGATATCTCTGTCCTATTGCGGCATCTGTGTGGTGACGGATTAAGAATACGAAGTGTCAACACCCCTATTCATCCCGTGGGTGTCGTAAGAGTCGACTAAGGGAGTAAAATATGCAGGAGAACAGCACTGCAAAGAGAAGGAAAACTTGTAACAACCCCTTTTTTTCATCTGTAAACCCCTTCGGGCCCCCACCCCAGTGGGGCTTGTGGCGGGGTGGTGTATCGGAATCGGACCAACTAAAACTACACGGTGTGCCACTCTACGCCTATGATAGGAGGGATCCGCCCGATCCTGCCCGCAATGGCGCGGGCACCACCTTCGGGCGAGTTCTCTATTGCAGTGAACTATGAAAGGCTGTTGATGATGATGACGATAAATATTTTAATGCGTATATTTTTGTGACAGCTTATACTAGTTGATATCTCTGTCCTATAGGCAGATCTGTCCTATCACAGAACAGAGGTACGTGTGACCCCGGCTACTGTAAGATATAGTTACTGCAGTCACCGTCCTTTTTCCCTATCCGACACTAGCGGTATCCTTTACCTTATTTCCATTGCCCTATACATTTCTTTAACCTTAATTAATTTTATAATTATATCCTGTCTAAGAAGTCCAATAAGAACTTGCGGAAGAAAATAGCCAAAATCCTCTGCAATTTTACACATTACGACCACCAATTTAAATTGGGTAAGAAGGCAGAATAATTATAAAAATGAAAAATGATTATTTTTTAAATTACCCAATTACTTAGTTAATTATGTATTAGACTTAAATAATGTTTCGTACAGTACCAAATCTGAGTAGGTTATTTTTCCTTTTATGAACTGAAGTTTCTGCCAAAATGGTAAAAACTACATTCAGTGAAGTCTGCGAGGTTAAAGAAATATAGGCAATTCCCCTTCAAGCCGCAGCGGTAAATACTGTCATAATGTAACGCCATTATTGAATTCTGCCGCGGGCATCGATCACACGCATCGGGCTGCTCGCTCTAGCGCCCTGTCGCAGTAAGACATTTTCACATAACAGAATTATGCTATGGATTATGGCATGTAAATAAACGAGCAGTTGGCGTGGCTAGTGTCTATTCCAACCTAAGCAATAACTATGCGATTATCCTATTTGGGCGCAACAACGAACAGGCGTGACTCCGTTCGCATTCTTCATATTAACCAACTTGGGACACATTAGGAATGTTCTAAATTCTTGTTCTTACAAGTAGGTTTACTCGTAATTTAACGGAAGTTGGAGCGTAAACAGTTTTATGGGTCTGACTTGCCACGAACGACATCGAAGTAAATGGTGTTTGATGTTGGTGTTTCCCAGTTATTGATCACCCCGCGTACTCGTTTTGTGAGCAGTTAGCATTCAGTAGTTTGTGAACTTTATATGATGCCTGTGAGATCTCAGTGAATATTTTATAACTTTAACCTTTGTTTAAAGAAAAATAAATTCTAAATATATATACATAAGTACAAGAGATCTTAAAATACAATAATATTATGAATTTTACTCTGACACACATCAATCAATGCCTTATTTTGTGCTAATTCAGTTATTCTTATCGTCCTGAACTTTTACCCTCTGAAATAAACCCTCATATGTTTCAGATCGATGTAGATCTAAAATAAATTTTAGATTTTGTCATACTTAATATGGGAGCATATGTAAGCTCTGCCAGTGTTTAAGAGAGTAAAAATTTCTTGTCTTGATGTGTGCACTTATATAATGCTATTTGTTGCAACTAAGTAAGCTGAATAAAATTTACTAAGAGTTTGATCTGAAATAAGTACCAAAAACCATACGTTTATATATTGTGACAAATCCATAAATCAGAGATTTATTATCTTTGGCTTTAGCAATATTTTATTTCTTTATTCGTAGTAAAACATTATTTAAAAATTATGAAAAGTTTATTCTCATTGTGAAGACATCTGATACAGACTTAAACAAAATTTAAACAAACTAAATAAGTATATGTTTGTGAAAATACAAAAGCTGAGTTTTTTCTTAACTCAGTAAACTTGTATTTGAAGTGACGGGAATGCAAAATTAGGAACGAAAACATAAATATTCAGCAAGACTATATAAATAAACGAAGTTTGGGCCATTTATTCCGATACACCAGGACTCTGTGCACAGACTGGAAAAGTTAGGCGGGAACGGGATTTCCTAATGCGATTTTAATTCGTTCTTCCCGCGACGAAGAGGGTAATTTCAATAAAAGCTAAGTCAGTAGATATTTGCCTGTGGAACTTGAAAAAAAATATGAAAATAAGTAGCGGAGTTCTTACGTGTTTTTTTTCGAAAATAGCACTCATTGATTTTCTTCATTACAATAATATTAATATAATGTAATGTATGTATCTAATATAAAAAGGGTTTCGTGAAGTAGGTTTGTCTTGAAGTTGAACCGCACCGAATTTTTCTAACAGCACTCAGAGAACTGGTCTAGAGAGTTCAACATTAGATCTGTTAAATGTTGGAAGGATCTGACCATCCTCGCTTGATATAATAATATGAAGCTAATACCTTAATAAATAAACTTTTTAATAAGAAGGTTTTCTTATCCACAACGCCAACCCCAAACAACCAGTGAGCCAAAGTTGATGTTCAGAGTTTAGACCGTGCGGCGAACAGGTTCCTAGCTAATCTAGAAACGCTTTATTACGTCACCCAAGGCTAGAAAACCGTCCCGTGATGGAGCAAGATTTTTCCTAGACAAGCTCTATTTTATCTAACTTAATGATTATAATCATTCAATTACATTTAGCAATAATTATTGGTTTAGGAGTTTCATTTGAAAACGAGACTTAACTCATAAAAGTAGATATGTCTTGAATATTAATGTTTACTGATTACACCCAAAACCTGAAGGTATCATACCAACAATATTAAGAATTAAAATATTCTTTTAGTTACGTATTGAGTATTACTCCTAGGAAATATTATAGTTTAAGAAATAAATAGAACTTCACGTGTTTGTAGAAACCGAGAATCCGAGGAACTTGCTTAAAGGAGATCCACTGATGGCGGGTATAAGAAAGCATTCAGAGCGCTCTATTAGGTAAGCTAATATGTATTTATTTACATACTGTTGTCCGATAACGTGACTCGTAAGTACTTCCTTGTACGTGCATTGTCTGGAATACTTATTTAATTAAGCAAAAACAAATCAAGAAGTAAAACTCGATTTGCTGTATGAATATTCAGAGAGATTAAAAATGTCAGCTTGCCTATCATCCGCAATTATATAGCTTTTTCAACATGCAGAAACTTTTACGCTAAAATCGAATTAAAATGTAAACTTAAAATTCCATTTGCAATAGTGTTTTTGTATCATTCTTACTGTAAATGAATATATTGAGAAGCATATTTAGTTTATTAGTTTTAGATTAATCAGAAAACCTTACAATTTCTCATTTACATGAAGCAGATATTACGAGCACGCTACATCGTTTTCAAGTTCCAGTGATAAAGTATTACGGGATTTAGTCATTTACGACAGAAATTACCTTCACACTATGGAAAAGCGTAATTCAGCAATTAAAATTTCAACTCGGTACCAGAAACGATAAATGCATAATTTTCACGATAATTGCCCTCCTTCCATGCCTCACTTGCTGCGAATTAAATTAGTTCTTGCGACTATTTGTTAGCTAAATCAGTAAAACAACTATATGCGAATATTTTCTATATATTACTGCCTTAGGACTCACCTCTAACTAACAGCATGGCAACAGTGAAGAGTAGTAGCCGCACGTGCACATTTTCCAACGCCATAATGCGGCCCATGCCTTCACTTACTGCACCGAAAGAGAGCGAGCGCAGCCCGGTGTCTTTTGCTCTGGGACACTCATCCTATGAATCCTGAAAATAAATAGCACTATGAGCAAAGAAATCTTCAAATTGTTTACAGATAGACGGCCGTTAAGAGGTTTTAGGTGTAGAGACTCTTCTTCACAAATGAGCTGGCTCGACCGGAGCGATGTCACGGCCTCACAGAAAACCGTTGTTGGACAATTCTTTTATGGCTTTTCACCTAGTGAATACCGGAGCCCAAACCAAAGATTCAAAGGGCGACAATACACTTGTGATTCTTGAATTAAAGGTCGCCATGGGCAGCGGTAGTCACTTACCATCAGGTAACCAGGTAACCAGTCGTTTACTCTCTTATACCATCCATACTAATATTATATTCATACTAATATTATAAATGCGAAAGTGTGTCTGTCTGTATGTGTTTCTGTCTGTCTGTTAACTCTTCACGTTTAAACCGCTGAACCGATTCAGATGACATTTGGTATAGAGATAGTCTGAGTCCTGGGAAAGGAGATAGGGTACTTTTTATCCTACACATCATCCTTTAAGGGGGTGAAAAGGGGGGTGGAGTATGTATGGGGAATCAATAACCGCTAACCCGATTTACATGACATTTCGTATGGAGATACTTTCAGGTTTGAGGCAAGACATAGGCTAACTAACATTAACGCGGGCGGAACCGCAGGCAATAAATAGTAAAAAATATAACTTAATTAATACATTACAACTGCAATTATAAACCCTAAGAAACCACGTGAATTTATTGTGTTTAAATGTAGGTATGTTTATTTCGTCTAATAGTATGATGTCCGCCACACATCGACTTTGATTGAAATAGTGCTAGTGCTACATAAACCTTACAATCTACTATATACTGTATAACGATTTTCAAAATAAACAAGATATCGAGCATAGTGTGAAAATTACAAGCGTCTTGTTATTGCCATTTTTAAGATTGAGCAAAAAACGCATATAAACACGTAAGCAATGTGTTTTACGCCATTTTTGCTTACCGACAGCAGACCGTAGCACCGACAGTAGACCATGTATTTTACTACATTACGTATTTACATTTTTCTACTACATACTACATTACGTATTTTTCTTTCAAAAAAAGGTTTAGATATATTAAAATGGGAATTCCTTTAATTTTTGACTGTTTCTTTTAACCTATCCGTTGTAAGAGCACATATTAAATGGACTTAACTTTAAACATTCATTCTATGAATGCAAATTATTACCAATGAATGGGAATCAGCACGATTGATCTCTCCACACATACATTCCTTTGAATTGCCTGATATTTCGACCAGGTATCACTGCCAGTGGTGGACAATGGTAAGTGGACAATCCCCGCAATTAAAACCTATATAATATCTAGAAGTCACGTTTATTCCCGTTCATTAGTAGTTATATAAGTACTAATAACTTTTGAAAGTTTCAAGTCATTTATCTATTATATGTACATCGAGAGTTTAGCGATTGTTCAAATTAAGCAAAAATAGCAATAATTATGAAACATTTGATCTTTATATCATTTAAAGTTTAAAATCACAAGCATTTTTCTAATAAATATAATTTACTGTTATAGCTGCAATAGGAACGCATAAGGTCCACTGACGGACAAACAGACAACGGAGGCTTGGTAATAGAATTCCGGTGGTTAATTTTAATGTAAATAGTTACACAGTTAAATAGAGACACACACAATAGTTACATATACGAGTATAGTTTACAAGTCAAAACCGTATTCCCAATTATAAGTAAACTAAAAATAAAAGTATCAAAAAGTTACACTATTAAGTGTTATATATATATTATATATATTATACTATTAAGTTAAGTTAAATACAGATAAGTTTTTTCTTTAATTTTTGATAATCCTCTTATAACCTTCTTAGTAAATAGCTCTGTTTTCCGTGTGATATATTTTTACATTTTCCTCCACTTATTCGGACTAAGGCCGCTCGTGAACAAATCTAGATATGTGACGCCTTATTTGCTGTCAATAACCTCGCTACATTACCCTTTGATAGGAGTTATTTCCTGGATTTACAAGTCTTCCTACATTATAACGTAAGCTATTTTCGAAGTATGTTTTATACAAATCTTGTGTTAGGGTACTTAGATTTAGGCCGAGATCAGGTTAATCTGATCTGCTAAGTTTTAGGAATTTTAACTTGCGTCTGAAATAAAAGAAAAAATGATTGATTACGTGTTGATTCCAAAAAGCTGAGATAAATCTTTTGTGTTTTGCAAGCGAAAGAAGCAAGTAAATTAACAAGATTGCCGCCTCAGATGATGCATGATTAAGAACCTAATTTAATACAACAGACTAAGCTTTTACTCGGTACAATATTGTCGGCAGAGGATCAGAAAAACCTGCCCTGTTTAGTTACGCTCACCGTGATTAGATGGGTATCCATTTTACCCAAAGCTTAAGCTTCCAAATAATCTCATTTACGTTGTTAGAGATTTAACAAATTTGTGTACAGGTTTTTGGCTAAATATTTAAATGAAAATTATATTCGGTTCACGGGGCGTCTTGTGGTTAAAACTTATTCCAACAATAAAATACTCACGTTTGATTTTGTGAGTACTTCAATTTAATGAGACTTGATACTTAATCAAGCTCTCAACTTCGGGTTTTAATTATTCGAGGAGAGAGTTTGCCAACGCCTTGAAAATCAAAGTTTTGAGTATCATAAAAATTTACTGGATGCTTTTGTTGATATGATAAGTAAGTTTGACAAGAACTTCGATTACAATGAGTATAAAACCAATGTGTAAAATTTCATAGATATGCTTGATGTTATACAATAATAATAAATGATTTATAGGTAGATGTAACTTACCCTTGTAAGTTCCAATGTCCTCTCTATTATGTTTCGTAATAGCAGTAGTTCGAATAACAAAAGTGATATTAATGAAGACCAAGTCATTGCCAATCTCAGTCTTCTTGCAAACTATACGTTGCTCATCAATCTAACCCTAACCTGCAATTACCAAGTTAAAGATACGAGTCTTAATATCACGTAATAACTACTTAAGTTGTTCACATTGAAATTTTTATTAAATATTTTCCTGTAAGTCAGGGAGCTGCTGTAAGTGTCTGTTTTTTTTACAAAAACTAAGTAATTAAACAATAAATCCTTTACCTTCACTTTTCCTGTATTAGAATATAAAACGACAAAAAAAAATTTTTTTTTTAATCTGCTAGATAAAATACTAAGAATCCGGTATTCTCGGCCAGTTAAAATAAACAGCAATTTTCAAACTTCCTAAAAATCTAAATGTAAGATTTATAGAGTTGTTTTTCAACTAAACAAAATACCAATTTCTAATCATGCCAATCTACGAGTATTCGTGTATCGTTACATTGGTGATTACAACTATTTAGGAAACCTAAAAATTAGACATATCAACAAAAAACCACTAATTAATCAATTCCCTGCCCCAAAACAACAGTTGTTTAAAAAACATATCGAATGTAAAAGACATAACCATAACTTGAGTATGTAACACGCCATAACGAAGACTTTAATAACGGAGTTAACCTGCGATAATGGGGATAAAAATGGAAAAAAATCCTCGTCTAAGCAGCTGCTAGTATACGGGTAAAGTTAAATGAAATATTCGGTGTGCGCTTAATTGGGCTTTTTTCAAACATTAATCAAGTGTTACGTCGGGGGGAGAATTTTTATGTCGGCCGAGACGTGCGATAGCCGCGTGACGGATGACGCGCGGCCGCCGGGTCGCGCTGTGAGGTGCATTCATCAACCTTAGATTTAGCCACCTTTAAACTTAGCGACTTATCACTATTTGCATCATTCGTTAAATATACTAACAGTTATTTTAGTTATTGTATATTTCACAGCTAGTCTACTGATTTTACTGTTTACCCGCACGGTGTAATGATTTTGTTTTTAATTAAAGAAAAAATACAATGACTTTAATAAAAACAATAATTTCATGTATTTAAGATATTAATTTTATTGTATTATTATACAAGATTTAATGAGGTAATATTTATTGTTTATGAACGACAGCTTTTATCTGCCTCGGGTGACTATAAAAATTAATTCATTAAAAAACGGACAAAAAGAAGGACTTTAAAGAGACTGGGAAGACAGATTATCCAAGTGATAGGGATAAAAAAATTGCCTTATGGAACGATCGGGAAAGTTTCCGCGGAAAATATTAGTCCAAACAATTCCTTGGAACACTCTCAGTGATACATACGATAGAGAATGCAGTGAAGCTACATCTCTACGTAAGGCCAACGTGTACGTGTAACGAAAGTGTGTGAAATAGTAACGTTGTCTGGATCTAGACATATAAAACTCTAACTTCACGCTCTTTGATTGTTGTGACTCATAATTATCCTACCTTGGTACCTCTTTGCTTTTCTTTAAATTGTTAATCCAGAAGAAAGTTCACCCGAGGGATAGACTAAATCACTTTTACGAAGACGCAGCCGAGACCCAATTAATAATAATTACATAAGAAGTGGACATGGATTTCATCAACTAATACTATTTTAATCTTTTTTAATCACAATCATAAAAATCATTATTTTAAGTTATGTTTAGAACTATGATTTACATTATTCATTCAGAATCACTTTTGCTCTTACTTCCTATTCTACGAGAATAGGAAGTGGTAGATTCTGATAATTTTTATACATGAGCAGCGAAATTCAACCATTATATAGCTTTATGAAGGTATTGTATGTCATGTTATAAGGTTGTTGTAGAACTATAGTGGCATTTTGAATTAATGGTGTCAGTATATCTTTACTAAACCAACAATACCTTTTAGATTTTACGAGACCAAAGCAGATGAGGAAACTTATATCGAAGACAGTGATAAAAATTAGCATGTGCGAAGAAGAAAATGACATGACAATGAAAGATCTGCAGAAAAAGTCGTGGCCAGAGGAAAAGCAAAAATTGTATCAATATATAGATATTGTCAATTTTGCGTACAGCATGTCTATTATAGATAAATAGATATCTATCTATCTATAATAGATAGATAGTATCTATCTATAATAGACATGCTGTACGCAAAATTGCAAAGATGCTTGTACGAAATTATATCATCATCACCAACTGCCTTAACCAGCCCACTATTTGAGAAAGGCCTCTCCTTAGAAAGAATGTTTTGGCGTACTATAACCAGGCTGGCCAAATTGGTTGGTATAGGGTTTGGTTTAATGTTCCTTCTCTATGCAGTACTGTTTTCCTGCGTAGTTTGCTACCTTAGTCGGCTCTTACGACACCCACGCGATGAATAGGTGACACTCTATTCTTTACCGTCACCACACGATATACACACACACCCACACGTACAAAATTTAGTGAATATCATTCCGAAGACATTGAGCACGTGTTTAAAAACGAGATGGTGCAGTTCAAGTACTTAAATTTTACATGCCGAGGAATCGTTTAAATTAATTCTTGATAATATGATACAATCAACTTGCCCGAATGTAATGATAGCATTGCAAATATACAGCAGTCTGATGATAAGAAACGCAATGGGTGAACAAGAACAAAGATTTCATTTAATTTAAGTGTTTCAAAATATGTTTTTCCTTCATTATTATCTAGGTGGCATAAGCGTAAACTTGTCACCTGTTGTTTAGTAACCGCCCATAGATTTATTTTCGGTTATTTTTTATTAACCGACTTCAAAAAGGAGGAGGTTCTCAATTCGATTGGTATTTTTTTTTGTATGTACACCGATTAGTCTGAGATTTATGATCCGATTTACGTGATTCTTGTTTAGTTTGATGCGGAATAGTTGCCATTTGGTCCCATAAAAATTTAACATAGTTAGGCCCAGTAGTTTTCATTTTATGAACATTTTTAATGAATATTATTGTTTACTTGGATGATATAATTTTAGTTTCTGTACGGCCTTTTTAGGAGTTTTCATTTAAGTTGATTATATATTACTATTAACCCGTGTCCCGATAAGTTGGTTTTAGGCTACCTGTCATTGAAGCGGAGCGAGCTTGCGGAGTAGAGAAATTGCATATAAAATCTCGGAACGAAGAAATAAATAAAAAGGAAATTTAAAAAATAAGTAAAAAAATTAATCTAGATTTAACTGTCTTAATCGTTGCATTTCCTGTAGTGCTTTGTCATCATGTGGTTTGTATAATAATTTAAATGGTTCCAAATACTTAATGACACGCCACCTAAATTCTTCACTCGACTTAAAGCCACATATATTTGACCTTTTGCAAATATTTTTTTCCGAGGTTTTATTAGATATATGACAATAAGAAGCAACGAAATGTTATAGTTTACCTGATGTAATCTAGAAAAATCCTACTGTAGTTAACAGAACAACCTATTTCAGACACTAAAAAGTAGAATTGAAACCTATCAATAGGTAGCACATACAAACAATAGTATTTTATGAATATTAAAGGTTTGCATAAGAGGTGTATTAAATTTAATCTTTATTAAGTTATTTTATACTTTTTAGTTTTTGAAGTCGGTTTTTTTAAACGTAGTTTTTTTTATTAAAATAAGCGCACAGTAGTGAAGTCCGCATTATTCAAGTGATTGAAATAGCTGTTTTATATTGTGAAATGATGGTGGAACACTGCCCGAGGTGTTAGTTAACATAGTTCTTTAGAAAACTCTCCATAATAGGTATAAGCAACGATGAGTATTAAATGAAAATTAATAATATATTAAACTTACATATCTACGTAACGCTAGGAAGTTAAGCCGATCTGGAATATTATTATCGTTGTAATCGACGATTCGAATCGCTCTCCATTGAATACAATCCAGAGTGAGAAGTTAGTTTTGAGTAACTGCCATATGCAGCTGAACTTGTGCATTACAAAGTGGCAGGCAGTGTGCTGATGTTAAATACTGTCTAGATGTGTTCAGCACACAAAGTTTCTTAAAGGCTAATTTGACTTTACCCTCTAGTGACCACAAAACCAAACTTCGTTCGAGAAGTCTAAGCCAAGGATTCCAATGCTGGATGTGACAGTTAAGGGGTTCTCTCAAAGTGAGATGATATGACAAACGATTATTTTTTTTACGGTAGACTCGCAAAATGTATCTGTAACGTACTCGTATGTACAGATATATCTGTGCAAGTCAGGCGTTCTAAAAATATGAGTAAGCGTTGATATTCCATAAAAATCTTGTCAATCAATCTTCTTTTGAAATGTAGTTACATTTAATATATACTATACTCGTACTAAGTAAAGTAAAGCCTCTTTATTTCCTTAATACTAACAAACTTCCTTAAAACAACATTGTTCAATTATTAAGTATACAATGATATTATACTTTTTAACTTTAAGTGGTTTAAAACTAAAAATATTATATAAATTTGATTTTGTTTAGATTATTCTTAAATTATTACAAATATATTAAAATTATTTTTA